AGGAGGAGGAGGTGGCCCCTGGCGAGCGGGATGTCCATCGCTCCGGCCGGGTGGTGAATGCTGAGGAGAGTTACTGTTGCTGTAGTCTTTGCCACCGGGAGGAAGTTGTGTGAGGCCGGGCGGGAGCTCGCAGTGCTGTGCTCGCGGGAGCAGTGCGAAGACTCAGCTGCTGCCAGACCCTTTCCTGCTGTGACCATGCCTGGAAGAAACAAGGCGAAGTCTACCTGCAGCTTCCCTGATCTGCCGTCCAGTGGACAGGATTTGGGTGAGAGCAGCCGAGTCGCCCGTCTGGGAGCCGATGAATCTGAGGAGGGACGAAGGGGGTCTATCAGTAATGCCGGAGACCCTGAGATCGTCAAGTCTCCCAGCGACCCCAAGCAATACCGGTGAGGGAGGAGGCTTGGACCGGGCGGAGAGCTGGGTGCGGGTCTCTCTGTTCTTTATGCCGTCATTTCTTGTCCCCGTATGTCCCGAAAGAGCAACAGAGGCACACTTTACACCCCAAATGCTTCCTTGGGTGGAGGTGACAAGGGCAATTAGGGGCTTCCCAGCGAGCGTGTCAGGTGGACAACTGGGAAATCTTGGGTTCCGCAAGGAATCGGTGTCAGAATGGGAAGGATAATTAGTGTAATTTTGACATTCGCTAAAGCAAGAATGGAGGTTTCTTTGAGGAAGGCATGCTGGCTGGTGAGGGACGCTTAGTATTATGAGGAAAGGTTGAAGGAGTGGAGATACTAATTTTGGAGTAGGTATTTAAGAGGCATATTACCCCTATCCATAAATATTTTTAGGTGCTTTTAATTGGAAGAGGGGTAAAACTAATGGGTACAATGTACTACATGATGGTGTAGCCTTCAGTAAAAGAACTTAGGTATCATAGTTAGCCTAAGATAAAGTGTCTTGTTTCCATGTGTTCCTCATTATTAGAATTATTGGGTCACCTCTTCCAAGACTATATTAAAGAAGACTTGGATCTCAGTTCGGTGAACCATAGAAAATTTGTAAGGTTTCTTATAATCCTGAAATTGTCTACTTTTAGTTTATGCCAGAATCCTCTAAACATCTCTGATAACTGGTGGCTTAATCCCCACCTGAATATTTCTTTAAGAGGTAGCCTATGATGTATTTTAAAGAGATTGTGTTGCCCAACAACTTGATTTTACAGGTTGAGAAAATTGAGATCCAAAGAGTTTGCCTCTTACTCAGAAATTCTTACTCAGAATTTTCTTATCAGCTAAATAACAGAGCTCTGCTATGAAAACCCTATCCATCCAGTGCACTATTTATGGATTTTTATAAATTTCTTCCTCATACTGACTTGAAAGCTGAGGATTCTAGGTCCCAATTTGTTACAAGCTCTTACAGTGTTAGAGCAGGAAAGAACCTTAGAGAATCTTTTGCATTCCCCAACACCGCATTTGACTGATGACTGAGGTTTAGAAAGAAGTGATTAAACCCCAAGTTTAAGACTGGCCTAATTTCTCCTTCCACTGTCAAGTCTAGAGATTAAACAGTACACAATTCATTGTGCTGTTTTTCCTAGGCTGCAGGGTCAAGAGGTCTTTATGGATGTGCTCAATTTTCTCATCAGAGATATTCTTGTATTAGTAATGTGTACAGGAGCAAATTGAAACCTTGATAAAAGGTTTTTGCCTTCCGTATTAAATGTTCAGTAATAGCTTCAGTTTTTTCTGCCTATATAAAGTCACATTAAAACAGCTAATGCTTACAGAGTATACACTGTGTGTCAAATACTGTCCTGCTTTAGATGTATTATTTAATGACCTCATTTTGGCAAGTTCATTTGACAAGTACTAAGTCCTACTGTGTGCCAGGTGTTGAGCTATCTTATAAGTCTTTTCTGAAACTTCATCAAATGTAACTTAATAAATGACATTTTATTCTGGGTGCTGAGCATACAAAGATGATTAAGACAGTCCCTGCCTTCAGGGAGCTTCAATGTAGTATAGGGACACAGACACATAAAAAAGGTAAAATTAAAGTATTAAAGATTTATAGAAGCCATAGTATTAAGTATATACTAGTTATATTGGGAAATAATATAAAGAGTGGTAAATTCCACCTGGAGAGAAAGTTAGGAAAGACTTCAGAGATAAAATAGTATGTAAGAAGTATTGTTTGAATAAGTTGTTGCATTTCTCTTTATGTGGTCTTTTGTCAAATCATTATCCTCCTGTCTGTTTTCTTAAAGTGATTGGAAACTTCCTTTCCTTTCAAAAGAGCAGGTCCACTTTTATCCATTTTATATACTGAAAGTTTCAATTAGACTTTTAAAGAAAAGACTTTGTTACATTAAAATAAAGGTGGAAAGTCTCAATACTAAATGGTCTTTAAAGACTTACTCAGCCTAAAGCTAAATTCTGTGATTTTTTTGTAACCAGAAACAGACATGAGGCATCTGTAGCCCAATGAGCTGAATTGTCCTTCCAGTACCATCTTAGGTGTTACCTCTGTGTAGTCGTTCTAGGAAGAACTAATCTCTCTTTTCCCCGTAGGTTCCTAGGTTCATTACAGTACGTATCCATCATATTATAATGATACGTCTTTTGAATGTGTGAATAAGCACCAGAGGTGGACTTGGTTAAAGGAATATTATAGTGAAATAATGCCTGGAAAGGTTTGCCAGTGCATTTATTAAGTAATAGGCCGCGGAATTTTACTTCATGTATATGCATAATTTGTATTCAGCTTTTTGAAATGTTAAGCGTACCTTCAGATATAGTCTGCCTTCTTAGAGGTCTGAATAAATGCTTGGTAAGTGTTGATTCCTTCTCTTCTAGAAGGATTAAGGGATTGCAGACTGGGAATGATTGTTCAAATCTTTATTGGTGTGAAGTGGAAATCCTAAAATGGGCAGGGTTAGGGTAGGGCAGTCTAAATAATCAATTATTTTAATAATGAAGATAAGGAAGTTTGGATTAACATAAGTATAAGACATTTTCCGTGTTTAACTGGTTTGTACAAGGACCTGTATTTCTGTGCGGGAGGGGAGAAGAACATGAAAAGGCATATGAACTTCTGAAGGGCAAACCCTTTAAATTTTGGTCAGTCTGTTAGAAATGAGGAGATGTTTATCTTGATAAATTCTCAGTATACTATAGAAAATAATGGATGCATGCCAAATAAGATACAGGTTATTTTTGAACATTTATTATGTTTGAACATTTATTATGTTTACATGAACAGATGCCTGTTATGCTCTGATGAACAGGAGGAGGTTCACAAGCCAAGGGAACAGGACAGCTGCTTTGGGAACAGTAGTATCTGCTGTCTTCCCAAATATTTAGGAGTGGGGTGACTCATTGTTAAACAGAAGCTTTGGGAAATCTCATGCACCTGAGGAACAAACATCAGAGAATACTTTCTTTTGTGTTGGATGGGAAGAACATGGATTTATTTGTTGGTCTTTTCAACTAAAACCCCTGGTTTTAGTTGCTTTTTCAATATATAAGGCAGCAATTACATTTGCAGTATATGT